AGGGCTTCATAAGCATGGATGTTGGTATTATCAATAATAACCGGGCTTTTCCCATTCTTCATTGCCTTGCGTGCTGCAATGTAACACATTAAGTAAAGCTAAAATGTATTCAACACCAGACTCAGCCAGACCTTACTAGCCCCAAAGTGTCCATTCTTTGCCCACTGCTTGCACACTTCACTCCCCACCAGACTTGGGTTTGCAGCTACCCCTAAAAAGAGTTGGTATTATCAATAATAACCGGGCTTTTCCCATTCTTCATTGCCTTGCGTGCTGCAATGTAACACATTAAGTAAAGCTAAAATGTATTCAACACCAGACTCAGCCAGACCTTACTAGCCCCAAAGTGTCCATTCTTTGCCCACTGCTTGCACACTTCACTCCCCACCAGACTTGGGTTTGCAGCTACCCCTAAAAAGAGGTCAGTGCCCAGTAGGAGCTCTCCTAGGGGACAGTGGTGCTACCACTGGCAGTGATCTGTAGTGTGATCTGAAGCCCTCGTAGAACATACAACAGCTAAAAATTACTGTTATTTGCAGGAGATCCCTGTTAGATGAGCTCAAAGTATGTTTTGTCATTGCTAGAGATTCCTTCAGAGCACAGCCACAAAAGCACATTACGTTGTTCTCTCTGAAGCAGAAATCTGGGTTGTTTAATTCTCAAATTCATAACTCAGTTTCCAACTTCTCCTCTATCTATCACTTCCTCCCCATCCCATAACAACTCCTTCCAGGTCAGGACAGAAACGTAAGAAGTTTTAGTGGGAAAGCTACAGTGCCTACAGCTGCAGGGAGCAGCTGCTGGGCTGTATCTGTGTGCCATCTGCTGTTACCAGGCTTCAGCAGTGTTTCCTAACAGTCACTGGTTTACCTTCTAAAATAACATCTATCAATCTATCGCCGATACTTTTTAATTTATAAATTTCTCTCTTACAAGTCAGCAGAAATAAAATGTAAATGTAATTTTTTTGAACCAGTACCCCATGAGCTGCAGTGTATGACACCACTCTGAGATACTTTGTTTTGGGGGCTAAGTTTAAAGGCACACTGAAAAGAAAAACTATTCTGCACAACCCCTGAATTGAGTTCAGTCACCTCTTTTTTGGTTCCACTTGTGTGCATCCTCTAGGAAGTCAGGCTCAAATATGTATACACCATTTTCAACGAAGTACTCATCAGTACTGAGAACTACAGCGCTGGGATAGTCACGTTCCAGTTGTCTGCAGGGGAAAAAAAAAGAGATGAACGAAGGATTAGTGTATGGTAACACATGTCTTTAACAGAGCCCATTAAATCAAGAGCCATTTGAATGCTCTGCAAATATGCACAGTCCTTCATTTGAAAAAATCCCAGCTTAAAGGATCTGAAAGGACTGCAATCAGTAGATGGACACACAGGAGGAAAGGAATGGAGCTTAAAGCCTTGATTTCTTTAATTCAGCAGAGAACTCTACACTGGACTACCAACATACGAGTTTTTAATCATATTACCATAGCCAGTTTTCCTTCTGAGTTCTCTGAGAGTTTTCTTTCTGAGCTATCTGAAAAGGTATGATTGTAAAGATTAAAAAACAACCCAAACAGTCCAAACCTGCTTATCACATGGAAGTTGGTTTCAAAGGACAATTTGACCATGGGAATTTTGCTAGGGACAGATTTCTGAAGATAACCAGGAGAAAGGATTTGCTGTCTAATAAAGATGTCTTATAGTACCATCAGTTGGTCTTCTTGGTTTTTTAGCTACAAAGCACACAGTGCTTTTTTTTTTTAATTTACAAAGAAGTATCTGAGTGCTAAGTCCATATTTTGCATTATTTTTTGAATTGTGTGTGGGGTTTTTCTGTTTCTCTTCTCTCTGAATTGCCTAGACTGGCAGTCCCAAATCCAGAGATGCATAGAACAGTCTGCTGTGGTTAGTGGCACAGGGCGACCCCCTTCCCTTCACACTGACATGTGCCCCCCAGCAATGCTCCCACAGACTGGGGATGCCCGTGGAGGGTGGATGTGTGCCCTGCTGTAAGCTGAGCCACTGCCTTGCAGGCAGTGACTGGCTCTAGGAAGTGGAAGTGCTGGGGCTTGTGTGGTGGTTTAAATATGAAGCATTCCTCTGCCAGTCCTTAAAGAGCATTAAAAAAAATGCAAAATTACTTTCCCATTTTTGTGTAATCCAGACTTTTTATTTCAATCATGGGAGTGTTGGGGGCAGAGGGCATCTCTGTAAGAAGTCAGGGAGAGCCCATGGCATCATCTTGCTACTCTCCCCCTAAGGTCCAAAATGTCTCAGGAAAAGAAAGATCAGTTGAGAAACCTTGTGGTTGTCAGACATGAATGCTGCTGCTCTGCTCTGCTATCTCACACCACACATGGTCTCCAGTCCCTGTGACTCATTTCAGCTTCCCTAACAAAATACTTCTCTTCCATCCCCACGAGCTGCAAAACAACTATTACTCAATCTCTTACCTCCTCGGGCAAGGGGAAAGGTGCCTCTAGGTTATCAGCAAAAAAAACAGACACAGAGACAGAAAAAGCTTCATTCTCTCATCTAGCTCTGGCCTAACCATTTCATACCAGTTTTACCCTAATCTGCCTGCTAGCAGCAATTTTTCACTGGGATTGCATGTTGCATTTACCTGAATAAAGGTCAGCTTTGCTCTGCCTCCACTGTAACTTCTACCACCTGCTGATTAGTTAGTATTATTTTGTGGTAGCAACTGCCCCAGAGAGCAGAGACTCACTGCTGACCCACAGCCAGGGCTGAGCTGTACTTACTGTTACACATCATTTAGCACCTATGTGTCATTATCTTCTAGCTCCGAAGGGATATTCACACAACTAGTGCTGGGCAAACAGATTTAAGAAGAGTCATGTTTCAAACTGTTAGCAAACAGTCAAATTATTTTTTGCTTTAGTTTTGTCCCAGGCAAAGAATTCTCATAATGAAAAATTATGCAGATAGTAAAAGTTGAATGCTGAATTGTAGTGAGAGCTGAATATATCAGTTTATCAGCACAACAGCAACCAGATAAGCATTAGGTGCTCTCACTATGATTCAGCACCTCACCTTTCCCACTGCTTTACCTATTGCAATTTCTACTCTAAAAAACTGAGTGCTAAAATATATGTTGTGCCTTTAGCTACCAGTAGGCACATAAAATCATATATGTTAATATAAGATAATTGTACACATTAATAAAAGATCTCAAGACTATTTTTTTGATCAGTTTCTTTTAAAAACATTCTCAACCCGTGCAAATTTTAAAAATCATTTTGGGCACATACATGAATTTTTAACACATATATGCACATTCACGTGAGATCTTTAACCTCAAGCAATCTAAATTGTATGTGATTATCTGTAAACTGTCTGCTATCATCATATTGATGATAATTAAAGTAGATAAAACTTGTGCTTTAAAGGAGTAAAAATATGATACAAAATGTGCTGAGGGCTATGAATTACTGTCACATTTGCTATATTCATACTGAACAAGCTCCTACTAACAGCAACATAAGAGAACATTCAGTGATAACAAGGTGATTTATCTTCTGCTTATCTTGCTGGTTTTAACTTTCAGCTTTCTAAAACAGCCAAACTGTTGCTAAATTTTACAATAATTTCCTGTAATCCCCTATTGCCCACAAACTTGACAAAAATCCTGTTTCTTCTATCCCTTCTCATTTCAAAGGGCACCCAAACGTCTTTAGCAGGTGCCTTAAGAAATAAGCCTTCTACAATCTACACAGGACCAGATTTAGAAGCAAGGTTCTGCTTGATTGCATCAGGCTCCTAATCATGGTATGCAATTAAAATGCCTCTATGCTAGAAAAATATGCACCAGCTATGCAAAGTGGGAGGGTCTGTGACCACTGTTACCAATGAATAAATCTTGAACAGCCCTATAAAAAGAAAATTACCTATTGCTGTTGGATCAGCAAGTGTAAAGCATACTGAGGAGGAAAAGAAAAATGCAATCTCTTTGCAAGATCAAAGGATACGTAGGAGCTGTGTTTGCATTTTCTAAAGAAGCCATTGAACTTGAAGCACTGCATTGTGACAAGCAGAACCTATCAAAGGTTCAGTATGGAGATCCCACCTGGAATACTGTGTGCAGTTCTGGTGCCCACATCACAAGAAGGACATGGAACTGTTGGAGCAAGTCTAGAGGAGGCCATGAAGTTGATAAGAGAGCTGGAGCACCTCCCTTGTGAGGACAGGCTGGGGAAGTTGGGACTCTCCAGCCTGGAGAAGACTGCATGGAGACCTCCAGCCTGGAGCAGACTGCATGGAGACCTCATAGCAACTTTTCATTATCAGAAGGGGTCTATAAGAGCTGGAGGAGGACTGTTTATTAGGAACTGCAATGATAGGACAAGAGGTAATGGGTTCAAATTGAAGGAGGGAAAGTTTAGGTTAGATATTAGAAAAAAAA